CGCGGGCAGCCGGGGTGCAGCCCACAGGCACAAGGGCGAGCCCGTCGAGGCCCCCCGCGCCGTCCCCGGACAGCGCCTGGGCCGAGGACGAACAGACACGCGAGCAAACGTACAAAAGCTGCCGGACCAGGGGCGCCTCCGAACGCCGACCGCCACTCACCGAGAACTGAGAATCAGAAGCCACCGACACCGACGCCGCCGCCATTGCTCGGGTCGCACAGCGCGCACCTCTGGCGGCTGGGTTCGCTTTGGGTTCTCGAGTTCTTCTTCAAGATTCTGGAGCCGCCCGCCAGGGGCCAGCCCAAAAGGAGCCCCAGATGGAAGGGGCCGCGGGCGCCGCTGCCGGGGCGAATACTCCCCCGCCACACACACCGCCCCACGGGGACGCCCACGCTCTAAGCGCGCGCAGAGGGCCTCACGTCCTAACCGACGTGCTTTATAACCAATCAAAGAAGAGAACGCAGTTTTGTGGCGGCAGAAATCCCGCCTCCTCCCCTGTGACGTCACAGGCAGCGCGCAGCCGCGCCTGCGCAGCGGGAACGCTGCGAGACGTTAGGCGAAAGGGGCAATTTTGCAAAGTGTTGACCTGACAGAGAAAACGTAGGCCAGGGGTAGAACGGTAGCTAATGACAACTGAACTGAAAGACGGGAGCCGAATAAAAGCGAGTGGAAAGTTCAAACACTCCAGTTCCCCGGGACTAAACGCCAGAGAGAGCGTGCGTGTGACTCGGGGACGCCTCTCCAGGTGAAGTACGGACATTCTGACCACCATCAGGGCTGGGAGGGCGTGGTCCCTCGGCCCAGGGACGTCGCGGGCGCCTGCGCCAACACCTGCCCGGCGGACGGGGCACTCTCACCACCCGGCACAGGCTGCTGCAGTCCTCGGCCGCGGCCGGGGCGGGGCGGGTTCGAAGCGGTTTCGCGCGCGGCGCCGCGCGCTCTCATTGGCCGGCGCCTCGCTTCCGTTGTGGGCGGTCCCTGCGTCACCCGGGCTGGCGTCGGGCGGGGCGGCCGGTGACGCGGCCCCCGCAGCCAATCAGCGCGGGAGGAGCGAGGCCGAGGAGGAAGCGGATCCGCGGCCGCGCAGTCAAACCGCAGCGAACGGCCCACTCCGTCTCCCTCCGCCGCTGTCGGGGCCTAAGCGGGAGCGGCCGGGACGGCGCAGCGGGCGCGCTGGGGCGGAAGTGTAGGCGGAGGGAGACGGCGGCGGCCGCGGGACCTTGCGCTCGCGCTGCGAGGCCCTGGTGGGCGCGCGCAGGGCAGGGGAGGGGAGGAGGAGGAGGAGGAGCCCGCGGCCCGGGCGGTAGTGGCGGCGGCGGCGGCGCCCGAGGCCCCCGTGGGCTCCGCCTCGGCACGGGCGGCGGTGGAGGAGGAGACTGAGCGGCAGGATGGCGGCCTCGGCCCTGTACGCCTGCACCAAGTGCACCCAGCGCTATCCCTTCGAGGAGCTCTCCCAGGGCCAGCAGCTCTGCAAGGTCCGTGGGCGCCGGGCGGGCGGGGTTCCTCTGCCGTATCCCGCGGGGCTGGGTGGCCGCTGCTCCGCACCCTGCTCTTCGCCGGCGCCTCGGGGTTTGCGAGTCTGGAGCCCCAGGACCCCCACCTTCCACGCCAGACTCTGTTTCCCAGAGCCCGGGCATCAGGTGGGAGAGCCCCGAGAGAGGAAGCCAGCGTCGTCTCCGCCCCGGACCGCCCCGGAGGGGGCCCGGGCCCGTCCGCGTCCCAGGGTCTCGGGTGGGGCTGGAGGAGGCAGACACCTGTCTGTGCCGCAGAGACCTCGGGGTGGAGACATTTTCATCTCAGTTTCTGCTGGGTCTGTCCTCTCTTCCACCAGGAGGCAGGGGACGGTTTTTGCACTTTCTTGCTAGGAACCCGAAGCCGCAAAGCTGATGGCATTCTTCCCTGTCCAGGAAAGCGAAGCGACTGGTTTGGGAACAGAATGCTCTATGATTTGGAGCTCCTCCTATCCCATTAAAGCCAGGATGCTGTCTGTGAGCAACGGTGCAAAATAAGTAGTTTCACATTTAACCACCTCTTGAAATCGGTCCTGACAGCTTTCTTAATTTCTGTAACATACTTTGTACATCTAATAAAGACAAAGACACGCGACACGCAACCCTCCTAAAGGAATTATTTTATGTTTGGCCATTTATATGTCATCCAGTTGTTCACACTGGGGGCAGTCCTTTCTGCTGTTTTAGACATTTGGCTAGATAGGATAATTTTCTGCAAGAAGTGAGATTTGGGACTCTGAGACATGCTGACTAATGTGTTGTCTTATTACAGGAATGTCGGATTGCACATCCTATTGTAAAATGTACTTACTGCAGATCTGAATTTCAACAAGAGAGGTTTGTATAATGAACAATTTTGGTCGCTAAAAATAAGTGTATAAAGAATTGAGTTATTACTGTATATTTTGAAGTATTTTTTAATGGTTTAGCCTGTAAAATTTTGTCATAAGTATAGATTGTGGGAGAGTAGTGACTAAAACCACAGTGGCTGTCGCTTTACAACTAAACTTTAGTTCACATATGAGGAAATAAAGGATAAGTTAATGAATAGGAAGTAGATGCCTTTGCTTGCAAATCTAAACAGTTATTGTGCATCTGTTTAAAAAGTGAAATGTAAATGGGCCTCAGGAGGGGTCAGGCTTACCAGCTGCCTTCCAAGGGTAGACCTTAGCAACTTGTGAACAGTGAAAGAATAGTGGAAACTTTTGAACAGGTGATTCTGTTTTGAGGACACAGAAGAAATTAACCTAAGAAAACAGAAAATGAATTCGTGAAGGTTAAGTAGGCACTGACGTGTAATCCTTTGCTTTATAATGGTGTGTTTGAAGATTTGCGGACTAGAGATAGAAGGATTTCTTGATTTTGTGAACCAAAGAAATTAAATTTATGAAAAGCCTAAAATCTTTATATTCACATTTTAAAAAAGTTATTTACTCTCAAATAGAATAAGTTTTAATATGAATCGTTGCTTTAAACATTTACTTTTTATCATAGTGTGAAATATCCCAGAAGCCTACAGAAATGTGATCATATCTGTATAATTCTTTTTCAGTAAAACTAATACAATTTGTAAGAAGTGTGCTCAAAATGTGAAGCAGTTTGGGACAGTAAGTGTCTTATATTTTCATTTCATGTTACTCCTGGTCAGTTACTGTTTTTCACAAACATCGACCTTATAAAGATATATAGTGCCATGTTCTTACATATTTTAACATGAGAATATTCTGTGAAATAAGATTTCTGTAGACAAATCTGATAGAAAATAGACAACAGTTGAAAGCTGCCAATTTGTGTGCATCTTTAAAAGTACTGTATTGAATTCCAATGTTAAAGACTCAGATATAGCAAACTCGTTATTGTGGAGAAGCCCCTCATCCATAAAGTACATACTCAAACTTTGCCCCTTAGAATTATTTTTGTGGCAGAACAATTCAGGTATTTTTCGCAAAACTTATGACAGTATCCTAGTGCAAGTTCTCTCAAATTACAGTCAGTGTTGGTATGTCAGTGTTACTTGTCACTGTTCAAAGTGCTGACCTAAGCATGTGTACTACCCAGAATTTCTTTGGACTGTCCAATAACATCAAGATATATTTGCTGTAGTTTAGGTTAAATTCAAATCATATTGAATGCCAGTTTTTAAAGTTGAAAATGGTTGTATATTTTTGTATCATATGGTTAAAAATCATTGTTTGAGTAACAGATTTTATAGTTGAGTTAACCAGGATATTAAATTAAATGCTTATACCCCAAACTGTGTATACATGAGATTTTCTTTATTGAGTACCTTTATTTTCATTATTGAGCACTTTTTATTGTGTGTTTGCTGTATCATGTTGCATGCCATGCAGACAGTGCATATATGTCTTCTGATTTTTGATAGAAAAATAATAGTTTTATGACTCAAGTCACTATTACTGTTTGAATCAATAGAAATGTAAGTGTCAATGGCAGGGTAACATACTTGACAAGGCGATTTTTTTTTTTTTTTTTTACCTATTTCCTTAATTTCCAAAGTATCTATAACATTGGATATATTTTGTGCAGCAAATATTTATTATTTTCAAATGTCTCAAGACATTGTGTGACTGTTTTTCAGCCCAAGCCTTGTCAGTACTGTAACATAATTGCAGCATTTATTGGTACCAAGTGTCAGCGCTGCACAAATTCAGAAAAAAAGTATGGGCCTCCTCAGACCTGCGAGCAGTGCAAACAGCAGTGTGCTTTTGATCGGAAAGAGGAGGGGAGACGGAAGGTATGTTTATTTATGTTGTAGCATCCGGAAATGAACACCAAGCAAGTTAAAAATTACACTTGATACACTGAGACATGATCTATTTATTTGGGTCCCTAAAAGCTGATTATTAGATTATAAGATAGAAATAGTGAATTTTCTCCTTCACATTAAATATGAGTTCATGTCAATCAATTGCATCCCTATATTTTAAAAATTACTCAAGCCAGATATAGTGGTGCACATTTACAGCCCCGTGTACTTGGGGGGCTGATGCAGAAGGATGGTTAGAGTCCAATAGTTGAAGACCAGCCTGAGCAGTACAGTGAAACCCTGCCACAAAATGAGAGAGGAAAAGATTCTGTACCTGTCCTGCACTGTTTGGTTATCCTTCATTGGGTCTAGAGGATTTGTTACTCTGTTGGTCACTTGAGGTTGCTGATGTGACAACGATACGAGGTGGTACATTATCACATAACATTCAGTTAGTTTTCGCCTTCTGACACGGGGTCATATTTGAAACCAGTGTTTGTTTTTCTCTACCTACAGTGACTTAATAAGTATGTTTGTGCATGTGGCATTCCTCTGCTGGTGAGCACTCACACAGGCCTCCTGTTGCCTGTCAGTTTCAGTTGATTTGGAGGATGACTGTCTTTGTGGGGGCTCCTCTAGGTCCCCAACAGCAATGTATGTACCTTAGTTGTAAGACATGTCCCTCCAGCACTTCTTGTGTGAACAGACGGAAGACAAAAACCTTGTTCTGTTTTTGTAGATTTTGTCTCAACTTGGAAAGAAGTCTTTCCTTCCTTCCTTCCTTGAGTTACATACAATTGATTCTCATTATTAGCAGTAGCTGATACTCTATAAAGTTGCCAGAAACACTGAATTGGTGAATATGGAGCTACTGCTCCCCTCAAGTGCACAGTTAGATTCCTGCCTATGTCAGTTGACTAGTGCATAATTTACTTGGTGTTTCTGCTGAATAACACCATATATATGTTTGTATTATTGATTTATTAAATTGAACTTATGGCTGTCATCACAAAAGATGCCTGAACAAAACTTACCCAACGCACTTTTTTCTGTAAGGCATATCACAGCCTTCCTGAATTTAGGAATGATGTCCAACACACTGTCTCTTGTGACCATATTAAATATATCAAAACCACAGTACTGAATAGACCAAAAAAGGATGGTTGTGTACAGCATAAGCACGAAAACAAGGAAGTGGGCCACTTTGCCTGAGCCGAAATGGGTGCTGTTTGGTAACTGCCCTGTGCCTGTGGGTGAGTGACCACAGATGTGTTACCAGTATTGGTTTTGGGTTATAGATACATTTTAGCAAGTAGGCAGTCTGGAAATGATGAGAATCTATTGTATATCTTCTGTGAGCTTTCTTGTTTCTCTGTAAATTCATACTTAGGGTTGTGGGAAATTTTAGTAGTTACACAGGAGTAGAAGAATTCAGGCTAGATTTCTTGAAAGAATATCAGTTATTTGTGCCTTTTTTTTTTTTGACTGGGAATTGAACTCAGGGCTTTGTACTTGCCAGGCAGGTGACTGTGCTGCTGAGCTACCTCCCTTGCCTATTTGTGCTTACCTTCTAGTAAGGGTAACATTTCTCTTCAAAATGAAAACACCTCAACTAAGGGAAGTGCATCAGTCATCTGCACCAATTTTCTGATCCTCTGAACAAGCATTTTCCCAAGTTTCAGGAAAGTAATTTCACTTCCATTTTGCAAAAATTTTGGATGCACACATTCACTAATTTTTGGATGTGTATGTGAAATGTAACTGGAAGGTGAACACTTGATTTTGCTTATGGCCAGCTTACACAAATACTTAATTTAGTACACATATTTTCTTAAAAGGTTGATGGCAAGTTGTTATGCTGGCTTTGTACGTTATCATACAAGAGAGTTCTACAGAAGACAAAGGAACAGAGGAGGAGCCTGGGATCCTCACATTCAAATTCTTCATCCTCGTCTCTTACTGAGAAAGACCAGCATCACTCGAAACACCACCACCACCACCAGCGTCACCATCGCCACAGTAGCAGCCATCACCAGTAAGTTCTTGGAAGTGACGTCTTCTAAAATCCCTTCTGGCATTTCTAAGCTGTATCAGTGTCTACTGGTACATGTTTGCACATAGTGACTATATGCTAGTCAGGTTTACATTACAGTAAGCTGCTTGAGTATCTTAAGTCTGGCTGGCTCCCCTACTTTATGAAGGAAGTATATGGAATTAAACATCCGGCTTGTTCAACTTTTATTATAATAGTTGTAGGACATTTATGGAGTAAATCGAAAATGATAAGTAAAGCCAAAATACAAATACCAGTTAATACTTCAGTGATTTTAGTTACCAAAAGTATCTTCTGTTTTGCAAATTTACACCAGTAACTGCAAAGTATGGAGTCTTTTTTGAAAATACATTGTAGCATTGTCATTTATGAGATGATAAAAGCTTTCTCTTAGCCAGGCATGGTGGTGCACACCTGTAATCCCAGCAGTTGGGAGGCTGAGCTGGAGGAGCACTTGAGTTTGAGGCCAACCTGGGCTACAAAGAGAGTTCAAGACCGGCCTGAACTAGATAGTGAAACGCTGTCTCAAAAAGACAATTCTTTCTTTTCCCCCCTGTATAGATTTAATCAAGGAGTTTGCTCATAGTTAAATGTGAACTACATTCCTGCCTCCTAAGGAGCATTCTGGGGGTTTCTCAAAATGTAAGAAATATCATTTTTAACTAATGGTACTTCACGATGTTTTAAAACACAAGTAGGAACTCTGTGCAGATTCAGAAAGTGGATGCCTAGTATATTTTGGAACACATACTTTTTAAAAAAGTTTTTTTTTTTTTTTTTGGTTAAGAATATAAAATAGTGATAGAAAAAAACAGCATTAGAAATGATACAAGATTTCACTAAGCAAAGTAATAGGAATACAATAATGGTTGCTGTATTACACGATTGTCTCAGTTACTCTTCTCCTTGCTGAGGCAAATACCCAACACCCAAGATGAAGCAAGGAAAGGCTTATTTAGCTCACAGTTACTGGAGGTTTCAGTCCATACTCAGCTGGCTCCAAGTGGCACATGGCAGAGAGCAACCTTTCATGGATGTGGCAGAGAGCAGAGAGGTAATGGGAGGCATCAAAAACAATGGCAACAGAGAGCAAATCTGTCCCCCTTAAGTTATATTTAGGCTATCTGCCCCAGCTGGGTGTAGTATCTGCCCCAGGAGGCACGAGGCTTTGGGGGGACAACCGAACCCAAACCATAATAGTGGTGCTGTCTTCAAATTAGTTGTCCAGATTACCAGATATAGATGGGTAAGATTCATTTCAACAAAACAACAAGTTATAAGAAATTCCAAAGAGGAAAGGAAACAAAGTGAAAAAAGAAATTGTAAGCAATAACTGTTCCTTTCAGAAGACCAGCAGAAATTGACAATACAATTATCCAATCTTTTCTGCATATATGCCTAAATATAGCTTTTCCTTCTTTCATTTGTCCTTTTCCTTATCCCAATTTTTCCTTCCCATTGAGTGGTTAGTTGCAGATAAAATTTGTCATGAAGATTCTGTTGGTGTTCACTTTCACCCGTCAGGGTTTTCTAGGTGTGACAGTGGTGGTCTGCAGAAGAGTGACTTCTGGCAATTTGAAGAAATCCTGTAGTCTTTTATTATCCTAAAAAGCAAAAGAACATAAATTTTTTTTTCTCTTTTGTAAGGAAAAAAAATGACAAAATAACTACATACTTAGTGGCATATGCCATATTTGTGCTTTAGGTCTTTCTGGATTTTTTGTTTTTGAGACAAAGTCTCACTGTGTAGTTCAGGCTGGCCTTGAACTCACTGTGTAGCCATGGCCAGCCTTGACTCGATCATTGTCCTGCCTCAGTCTCCGAGCACTGGGATGGTAGGTGTGCACCACCACACCTGGCTGCCAGGCCTGTTATGATGACTTCCAAATTTATGTTTGTCTTGTCCTTTCATAGCATGCTGTAAAGGAGCATCGTTGGCATGTTTGTAAATTATGTGACAGTCACTTTCTTCGGGTTCCTGAAGCACACATGGTTACCCTTGACTGTCCGCCTAAGTCTCTATTAAATGGCATGCATTTGCTTTGCATGTGACCCACCCTTGAGCAGCTGTTTGCTACTCACAATGCCTGATGTAGTGTAAATGCTGCCCTACCCTATGGCTTATGAACTAGTGAGAATCTGTCACTGCGGTGCAACATCCGTAAGCTGCTTCTGGCAGTGACAGAGTACTTAGAATAACAATTCAATGGAGGAAAGGTTTATGTTGGCTCAAGGTCTCAAAAGTTTCGGTACCTGGCTGTGTGGCTCCATCACTTTAAGGCCATTGCAAGGGAGAAGTGTCGTGGCAGGGCAGCAGGGAAACAGAAGGGACATGGCAGTGGGAGGGGAGCCCCACGACCTTCCTCCACCTGGCTTCCACAGCCTGTTCAGCTCTGAGCTCATTGGTGGGCTGTCACAAGCCAGTCTCTTCTCCTGGCTTCCCCTCAGAATGTTGCTGCCCCTCTGAATGTTGGTGTGGGTGGAGCACTCCAGGCAGGAGTCTTTGAGTGGCCTTCATGTATAACCATAAGCACCCCCCAACTTCCTTTTTCCATCTTCAGTTGGTTGAATCTTCAGGTGCTAAACCTGAAGATACAGGTGGCAGCTGAACTGTTTTTATATCTGGTGACTAGTGACGATATTTGAACAACCAGCTCGTATGTTGGATTCTTTTTGTTGAGTTGATCTCGCTGTAGGTCAGGCCAGCCTGGACCCATGCAGCCTAGGATAGCCTTGAACTGGAGACAGTCCTCGTGCCTCAGCCTCTAGAGAGCTGGGAATACAGGTGTGCGCCACCACGCCCAGCAGTAGAGCAAATACAAGGAAGGTGGTATATGTTATAATATGTGGTGACTGGTGGTGGCACTAAGGTCACCCTGACCTGGGGAGCGGTCATTCTCAGAAAGCTGAGAGTTCCAGTGCTGCTGACTACTCACAGCTCTTGGTGATCTGCCTTCACGTGTGGCTGACGTGCCTTGCTGATGCTCATGCTGCAGTAAAACTATAAAAGAACCAAGCACATGCCTCAGTGTAGCCCCTCCTTGGCACCATCAAGGATGACTTGGGGGTGGTGTCAGCTGCTCTTTCCCCTTTGTGTTTGTTTACCGCTGAGGATTGTCTTTACTTTTCACTTTGAAAACTTCTATGGCTTAGGGAACAAGAAATGTCATGTAACTTGTCTAATGCTAATGTCCCCATAACATACGTAATGCCATTTTACAGATAAGTTGGACAGTTGGATTGGTAAGTGATGCATTGAAGTGCGAGTACAACAGGAACAAACAGGGTTCGTTGTAAATTATGAAGTGCTTATTAATATTAGGGCAAAATGGAAAAAAGCCATATCATATGCAAATACAAAATTATTTTTGACTATTAAGTTTCCTAATGTTTGCAGCATGAGTTCCTCAGAATATTGACTAAGAAATAAGTACTCCGTTTTTGAGTGTTGTTTTCCCCCAGTACCTTGAATCGAATTCAGGACATTGCACTTGAGAAGCAGATGCTTATACTATTGAGCTTTTGCCCCAGCCCTTGTTTTTAAGTTTTTGAAGTATGGAGTCAGTACTTGAGAGGATTTGTATGAAAGTGGGAAAGAATCCAAGTAATTGAGATAGTCTTTCACCAATTTGACACATGATTCTCAGTAACTGGAAAAAAATCTTCATTAAGGATTACAGGAAAAATCTTAATTTTTAAAAAAAATATGTTATTTTATTCTTCTTGTTTATGATACTGAGGGTCAATCCCAGGGTGTATGTACCCAATGTTAGCCAACCACCGCAGCCCCAGAATCTTAACTTCGAGGATACACATTTTCTGTAAGAAATAGGAAAGGCAGCCAATGTACAGTAAGTTCTAGATTTTGGAATTACAGATCTTTGCTATAGATGTCATTCATACCTGAATACCTCAGCTCTTGGTGTGGTATATGTGGTATATTAAATTGAATTACAGGAATTCAGTTTAAGAGGAAAATATGCTATCATGGAATGGCCTGTTCTAAAGAAATTAAGTTAGCTACTAATTGGATTAGAATATATTCCATTAGGATGTGATTTATTTAGTATATTGACTTAACTGAAAACTTAATTTTGCCTATCTTTGAATATGATGTACAAAGTTTTTTTATGACACACATAATTTAATTCCCACGAAGAAAAAAATTTGTAAAATATAGATGTATTAAATACATGTTGGTGGCTGGGTGTGGTGGCGCACACCTGTAATCCCAGCACCCGGGAGGCTGAGGCAGGAGGATTGCTGCGATTCAAGGCCAGCCTTGGCTACAAAGTGGGTTCAAGGCCAGTCTGAACTGCATAGTGAAACCCTGTCTCAAAAAGACAAAAAGAAAAGCTTAAATACATATTAGTATCAGATGTTGTTTATGTTTTTCAGAATCAGCAATCTAAGTCCAGAACAAGAACAGGGACTGTGGAAACAGAGGTAAATACATTAACATTTGCTAAAGTTTTTGACATGTCTTAAAATTACATCATTTTAACTTCATTACATAGGCTTTCAAAAATTTTAGTGATACTCAGTAATATTTTAGGGGAAGAAAACTTATAATTTGGTGCCTGTGCCCTTTTTACTCTACTTATTCTTATTCTTATTTGGTTTCAGCCATAAATCCTCTGCAGCAATTCAGAATGAAACTCCAAAGAAAAAGCCCAAATTGGAATCTAAGCCATCTAATGGAGATAGGTAAAAATGAGTTCCTTATTGTTTGCAAAAATTCAACTTAGTATGGTTTTTGCCAGTTATTACTAGATAAGAGCAAAGAAATATGTTATCTTCTACATTGACTTCAAGTCACCTAGCTAAAAACATTTTAACTTAATTTTGGCAATAAGAAAGTGGCACTAAACTGTTGTTCTAGTTGGGGAATAAAGTTGGGTATTGCAAAAAGAAAACATCTGAATAGAGAAGATTATCTTAATTACTTTTCAGAGAAACACAGATCTGATTGTAGTATTTTAAAATTGACCTGCTTAGAAAATGTTTTAAGATTTAAAATATTATGAGTATGACTTTGTTTTAGTTCATTAGCCAAAAGTTTGCTGATGTTACTGTACAAATTGGCTGCCTATTGCTTTACACTAGAAGTATTGACCCCCTAAAAGCTAATACTGAATTATATTTCTGCAGGTGTATGTAATGTGTGCCATTAGTAAGGTAATTTGCCAGTTGCATCCATTTCTGTCAGGTACATATTTTTTTGCATTAGCTTTAAGGATGTTTGTGGAATTGTCTAATTTATGCAATTTGAACACCTGCTAATTTTCCTTGTATGTCATTTAACTATGTTTTACTTCTTTTCTTTTTAGTAGCTCTATAAATCAGTCAGCAGATAGTGGGGGAACAGACAATTTTGTCCTTATAAGTCAACTGAAAGAAGAAGTGATGTCACTTAAGCGTCTCTTGCAGCAAAGAGACCAGACCATTTTAGAAAAGGATAAAAAGGTAAGAACGAGGTTCACTGAAGTGTGGTAAGATTTACATTTTGACTTTTTGATTATTCTTTTTCTTTTAAAAATTTGGTAATGTTTGTTGTATATGATTCTTACAAGATAAATTTCAGAAGCTAAATTAGAATCAAAGCCTTCTACCTTTCAGAATTTTTGTATTTCCAAGAATAACAATGGAGTAGTAATTTCTGAACGTTAGTTTTCAGTAAGCATGCAATGTTTTAAAAGGTCTATCTAATATCTTCATTTGTAAATGGAGATAGAAATGAAATACTGTATAAATTCTTGAAGCAACTGCAGTGTATTTAAGTATACCAGTCAGGTGATTGGTATGAATTACATTTCAGAACAGAAATTCTTGTATAAAACATTGAAGGGGGAATTTAAAATTTGAATCTTTCAAAAAATAAAATCTTTCATTTGAATATAAGACTGCAACTTCATGTTGATGTTCTACATCCTTTGGTTTACTAGGTGCTGGGTAATTACAAAGATGATAAATAGATCCAAAGTTTTTGAAGCCCATGTAATAAACAATTGAAAAATAATCTAAGTTGCTTCTGTATGGTTCTGATAATGAAATTATGTAACAATTTTTAGTTTGAAGTTATAAGATGCTTCGTGATTTATGCCATTTATATTTGTGAACAAATAATCATGTAGTCTTTACCTCCTCAAACCAGTGGGATTTTTTCTTACATTTCTCTAAAATAGTAAATCCCTTTCTGTACTCATTCTGCTTCAGTTTTGTTTTCCATTTTTACCTCAAGTAAAAATGGCATTGTGGTGATACTGTGTGTATAATCGTGGACAGAAGTTTACCAAGAAAAGCAGCAGAGCTCTTGGGTGATGAGAGTGCTCCCCTTCATTCTTGCCCAATATGAAGCATTTTCCTTTTGTCATTGAACGTTTATGTTAACCTGAAAGCAGTTGTTTTGCTAGTTTATGTGAACATGAATCATATTTTAACTTAAGTACTTCCCAAAGTATCCTTAGGCTTTTCTTTCAGCATACCAGTTGTCAGACTGTGTCCAGAAACAGCAAAACCACTTCTCAAAAGTTTTGCTGGTCAAGTATTATCTTAACATTGAGATTATATTCCAGTTAAGTAGATAAGACTTTTCACAAGTTAAATTCTAGACAACTGTAGAACTATTAATATTAACATCTTCCATTTTTACAGTAGCTGAGTTTATTGTAAAGATTTTTTCAGCAGTTATGTGGGCAAAACTTACCTATGTGTGCATGTACACATTTATATATGCATCTCCTTTTTCTTTTAATCTTAGTTAACTGAACTAAAGGCAGACTTCCAGTACCAGGAGTCAAATTTAAGAACAAAGATGAACAGTATGGAAAAAGCTCACAAAGAAACTGTGGAACAACTTCAGGTAAATGATGTTATTTATGTAAAGCAATACAAGGAAGGCTGTACTTGGATAATAGCATTTGCTGACTTAGGCTGAATTAGTATCATTATTTTACTTATCTTTGTAGCATTTTCTGTTTTAATGTTTTGAATACTGACTCCATTAAAAGTTATTGTTTGTAATCACTAGAAAGGCAATTCTGTACATTAGTCCTGAAAAAAATTTGAGAAGGAGTTTCAGAAGAAGATATATTATTGGAATATCTCTACTTTCTCATTAGGTTAACAGCAAAAGATTGAATGATGTATTCATGGAACTAAAATATAAATGAGATCTTTAGTACAATTATTTATCTTTTAATCTCCAGATCTTAAAAAATGACATGAATGTAGAAAAACAATTGTCAGGAATCTTGAATGAAAGAAATGTTTGTTGTCTGGAGTGATTTAAATTGAGTGTAGTTAATCTGTGTACTATGGCTTTCAGATGTCAAAGCCAAGTCATCCATCTCAGTCTCAGAGTAGGGGGAAGGACATCAACAGGACTGAAAGGCGCAGAATAAATGGTATCAAAGTAGCAAAGAGGGTTAGAACGCTGTGTCTGGCTACAGAGATGATGAACATCCAGTACAGATACAGGTTGCTGTCGTAAACCTTAAAACTTTGTACTACCTGTATGTTACAATTTAGAAATGAGATCACACTCAGTTAGTTACAGACACTCCATCAGGTAAGTTCTGACCTTGTAGAACTAATGTTCGAGTAAAATGGTTTAAGAGGTTTAAGTCTTAGAAGGATATATGGTGTCAGTACATAGACATCAAATTTGATGAAACAGCAGTTTTAAAAGAAAGCCAGCCAGCCCACCCTAGTTTTTTGTTACTTTTTAAAAATGCTGTGTTAACCCTAAGGGAGGTTGACTGTTCTTATGTGGTGGCTTTGTATCTTTCCAAGTAGCGTACACTGAGTGAGACTTAGGCACTTGCTGATGAAGCCAGAGTGCAGACTATCTGGCCTGAAACCTGATCTTACTGTTAAAATTTTGAAGAACTCATAAAACTGGGACATAGTAGGCATTCAAATAACTTGTTAAATGAGTGGTGATTCATGGAAATGCCCATCTGCCATCTGTCCTGAGAGATTGCCTATATCCTGTGGTATATTAATTTCTGTTTTTTACCCATTGCCAAGTACTACTGTTAGTTTTTGATATTCGAATTAAGTAACAGTGAATGACTACTTGGAATATAATCTTCCACCTGTTGATCTTTGAGTTAAGGTGATGTACCCAAAGCTGTGAGGTAAATCCGGAATGAGTTGACATTGTAACTGTGAGCATAACTTATGTGTGATTTAATGTAGTACTGTCCACTGCTTGAAAAAGTTTTTATTTTAAAAATAGCTGTAGACTGGGTGTGGTGGCACACACCTCTAATCCCAGTTCTTGGGAGGCTATGAACAGGCAGATCACTACAAGCCTGATCTAGTAGTGAGACCCTGAAAACCCTGTAGACCCTTCCCTAAAATACAAAAAATAATAATAATTTTAAAAAATAGTTGTAAGCACTGGAGAATCCTCTTTGCTTTACCCTGATTAGTATCTGAAAGCTGCCTCCTCTTGGCTACTAGTTAAAGTTTCATATTGTTACTGTAGTAACTAGTATTTATATAGAAGTAGGACATTTCAATATTGTTTCATATATGTTGTTTTACTTTTTTTAATAACTTATGGAAATGCTCATTTTGTAGACGAACCTGGTCACAAAATTAGTGAGAAATAGAAAAATATCTTCTGCCCCAGGTTTTCACCTGTTCTGCACCATTCCCACTACTTGACGTTATACAGGTTTTTTATTTTGTTTTTTAATTACACCATTCCCTGTACTCTTTATGTTATTTCTAGAGACATTCTGCCCTAAGTGCCATCTTTTTACCCACTCCTTTTGGCAGCCGGTGTGGGATTTTGTAGTGAACTGAGTAAACATAGTTACTTTCTTATTTTTAGGAATGGAATATGAGAAAGAATTAAACTCTAACAAAATTTATCTTACTCTAATAACTGGTAAAATACTTTAAACTTTCAACCTTGGTAGTAAGCACTGATCATCACTAAAACATGTGTAAAAAAATAGCCCATAAACACTTAAGAATTCCAAATACAAATTTTATTCTGTTAGTGCAGATAAGTAGCTAGAAAGGGAAACCAACATTTGTATGCCTGCAATGTACCAGTCATTATTTTAGGTTGCTTTATGTATTTGATTCGTTTTTTCGTTTTTAAAGCACTGACTTAAAGAACTGTAGTTTCATTCAGTATTACACCTGGAAAGATAGATTCCAGAAAACAAAGTGGTAGAACCAGGATATAAAGCAGGATCTCTGTAATTCTGGTATTTTTCACTTTAGAGTAACACATAACTCACTTATGAGTTTAAATAATTTCATTTACTTTTGCAGGGAGCATAATAAAGAAAAATTCTTATGATAATGTTGAAATGTGTATATATTAACACATTCCCACTGGCTTGAACCACCAGTGGTATGTGCATGACTTAAAACACTGCGGTATACTGTGCTTGTGCCAGCCGTTGCACAAACGAATGTAATCCCTTTTATTAGTCTTTGTACTAATACGTAAAAAGCCACATGAGGGAATAGTCATGTGTACCACCACTGGTTCAAGAAGCCACCTGGCAGCAAGACATAGCCGTTACAGCTTCATTGTGTGTGTGGTGATATTTAGTATGTCCAAGTGAAGGTATATTGGAATTCATGTCTTCTTAACAACTGATACACTGTTTATTTTAAAGGCTTTTCTTACGTAACGGATCAACAAGTAAAGGTGTTGGTGGTGTGATTAGGGACTGAATACATAAATGCAGCTTGAAAATTAGTTGCCAGAGCATTAAAGGAAAAACTGCTTTTAAAGTCTAATTTTGGCCAGGCATGATGGTGCATGCCTGTAATCTCAGCTCTCTGGAGGCTGAGGCAGGAGAGGATGGTTACAAATTTGAGACCAACCTGGGTTACCAACTGAGCTCAAGGCCAGCCTGAACTTACATAGTGAGACTCTGTCTCAAAAAGACATTAAAAAAAGACCTAATTTTGGAGATCTTGCCTTTTGTACCTGGAATATAAAAATAGTTGATTTTTAAAATTTTCTTGATTGAAAAATTAATTTGGAGGTTCACTTTGTAGGCTTTTTTTTTTTTTTTTTTTTTTTTTTTTTTGGTATTTTAGGGAAGGGTCTACAGGGTGTTCAGGGTCTCACTACTAGATCAGACTCACAGTAACCTGCCTGTTTACAGCCTCCCAAGTGCTGGGATTACAGGTGCGCACCACCACGCCCAGTCTCAGTTGCATCTCAAGGCACCCTGGGCGAGGGGCCGGCACAGCAGGCCCAGGGATCAAATCCAGGCCCCGTGGCAGGCCCTTTAATCCACTGAACGATTTGGCCCGCCCTGTAACCATTTATCATATCAGTATAAACATTTGAATATGAATGTACCTTGTAGATCTGGTGGTGGTCTCTTTGAGGCAGATTTGTAGATATAGTCATTTTTTATGTTCTTCATGACTTTATTTTGAAACTGTAATAAATTCTGAGGGTTTGGCTCATGCGTCTGTTATAGCTGTAAATCAAATAGCTATTGAGAAAAAGAATTTATTGACCACAGAGGCTGGTACACTGAGTAATAAAACTGAGTAATTATGAGTATGCCACCTGATATTCTCTACCAATCATCTCAGTTAATTGACTGAGTTACTCAAATTATGAAGTTTATATTCTTTTGGATACTTTCTTTTTTTGTATTATTTTTAGGGAAAGGTCTACAGGGTGTTCAGGGTCTCACTACTAGATTGGACTTGTAGTGATCTGCCTGTTTACAGCCTCCCAAGTGCTGAAATTACAGATGTGTGCCTCCACACACAGTCTCAGTCCCTGTCTCAGTGCGCCCTGGGGGCAGGGCCAGCATGGCAGGCCTGGGAATTGAACCCCCGGTCCCTGTGCCTGCTTGCAGGAGCTTTAATCCACTGAGCTATTAGGTTGGCCCTTGAATGATTTTTAAATGGAGTTTGCAGGTCAATTTGAAATTAAAACTGGATTGTCACCTAAGATGTATAATTACTGCTGAGTAGGGCAATACCCTGTTCATCATGCAACTAAACATAAAATGACTCCATTAAACAAGGTGGCACTGAGAATATTTGCAGTTGAAGCTCCTAGGTCTTAATTAGGAAGAATTTGGGGAAGAATAAGGAAATAGACATACAAATGCTTGGAAATGTTTATAGTTCATGAAACTTTTTTAATGTGGCATACAGAGATGATGCGAGTATTGTCTACTCGTACAAAAGGTAAAGGGTGGTTTGTACCACCAGTGGTACCGCTGCTTGGAGGAACATTTAGAGTAGAAAAAGAGAAGTATGTCCTGAAAACATTTAAAAACCTATGAAATAAAACGTTTGAAGCCTCACCGGAGGAAGTTTTAAAGCGTCATGGCAGTGCTTAGTTTCTAAACATTTTGGCTCAGGAACTTTAGAGGTGTGTGTGTCATTGGAATATATGTGAGTTTCCGGAGTTTGTAGACTGCAGGATGGCAGAGGCAGACAGAGTATGAAAATACTTGTTGAGCATGTCTGCGTACACAGTCCTGCTGAACACTAGTGGTTCTGGCAGCACTGTGGATCAACGGCTGCGTCTTTGTCAGTGATAGATGAGATTTGGCCAAGTGATGAGTATTTTTGCAAAAATGATTGGTCTTACATTTGTTCTCCAAGAAGGTAAACATCAAATGAAAGACTTTATACAGCTTACTGGAAAGTAATCCTCTCACTTGATTTATTCTTTGATTTTCTTTCTATAAAGTCAATTTATTTAAATAGTTTTCATTTTCAAGTAAAAAAATGTATATTTTTTTCCTGTCTTTAAACTTTGAACCTTCTTTTAAGTGGATTTACTGTATGACTTTTTTTTTAAGCCAGCAGTGTCTTTGGACAGCAATTATATTTGACGTTTACCAGCAGGACTGATTAACCAGTCTACACTTTTCCCTGCACTTGTCTATAACCTGAAAGGGATAAACTTAAATATACCAACTCTTTCATTTGATCTGTTAGTTTTCACTGAACTCTTTTTTTTTTACATAAATGAACAGCATTAAGTAGTGTTCTTCAGGATGACTCAATATGTCAGACTTTTTAAATCTTCAATTTTTGTCTCTCACAGGCTAAAAACAGAGAACTACTCAAACAGGTTGCAGCATTGTCAAAGGGTAAAAAATTTGACAAAAGTGGAAGCGTACTAACATCTCCTTGAGAAAGTATTTGTTAAGTGTTTCTGCTTACAGTGTAAATTTGGGGGATGAATTCTGTGAAGCCCTTAAATTCTGTGTAGTGCAAAAAATATTTTTGCGCATCAGATGCATTGGTGTGTTTCCTATTCACTTTTGTAACTGATATATAGCATTTTTTAAGTTGTAAAACATTCAAATAAAACTTCAACTGGTTTGAAGTAACTTTTTACATGATTTGATATCCAAGAATTTTTTGCCAGCAATAGTATTAAACAGTTGTAAAGGAGTGCATGAGTAGTGCTCTTTATAAAATGCAACATGCAATAATAGAGTAGGAAGGGTTTTAAGAAGTCAGAGCAGCAGGGTTTTTTGGGGTTTTTGTTTGTTTAACACTATGCTAGATTCAGATAAATAGTTTTTAATTAGAAGTACAAAAACTTTTAAACAAGGAAAATGGTTAACACTGGTATTTTGGTATTGTATTTTTACTTTGCATCAACATGAATTCATGAATTTAGGAGAGAATCATGGTGCTTTTATTAAATGAATTCCAGAGTACATGTAAATATGTTTTTAGAAGCTACATCATTATCATGAGTTAGTAACCTAGCATTGTCATTATTAGTATAGAAGTTAATGTTTATTGTACAGTATCCTGAGATAAAATGTGTTTTTGTTTTGTAAAAAAACTACTGTAGATTTTTACTTACAAGTGCCTTTTTGCCACCTGTTTTTATTTATAGGAATGCTGATCTTTTGTACATAGTTTGTTTTAAAATCATGTTTAATAAATGTTTGTATATAAATGCATATGTACAGAAGCCTATTTCAAAAAGAAATCAAAGTTGCTAGTAACATTTTTGAGGTTGCATTAAAAACTAACTGATAATGCATATAGATTAGATTTTGTGGTTAGTTTCTGTGATACTGGGAAGCTGTTGGTTATTGAATGCATTTAATTATTTTGAAATGATTCCCTAAAGATCTAATTTTAAATCATTTCTGATAGAGTAATTTTATTTTTTGTTATAAGGCTTCATGTTCATATTTTGTGAGTTACATGGTTTGCTTTATATTTTTAATATAAAATTTCTGTAAAATTTATAATGTTTCTACAGTGGTCCATATATCTGCTTGCCCTATAATTTGTGGGAATATCTAAGTTAATATTTATGTATATCATACTTAGTTTATAAATTTAATGCAAATCTAGAAAAAAACATTTTATAATCTATGCTTATCTTAAATTGGAGTCTACTGTGAGATTCAGGCACTATGTATTAAGTAAATTGTTGCAAAGTCTTTAAATTTTTCTATGTAAAGTAAAGGAGGTAAGAGATAGGTTATATGGCTTAACTATATTCTCATCAAGTAGTTCTCAGTCTGCAGTATAATTTGATCTGCTTACTTTCAGTTCAGACTTAGTTCAGTTTTGAAAGCTCAGGCATTGTTAGATACACTGTATGAGATGAGAGAGTTCTTTCCTTTATAGAAATTTATAGACAAAGGTTAATTTGTTTTAAGGAAACTTTTATTAAATTGATCCGTTTTGAATGGTTTTAGACAAATGTTGATTATGAATTTATAACAAAGTGGCTTTCTTAAGACCACATGATGATTTTAACAGCTCCTATTAACATGATTCATGTTTCAGTTGAGTGTCCTTACAGTTCCTTATCATGCATTATAAACTGATCCTTGTCCAATTTGGAAGCATAAAATCAATTTGATTTTCAGTTAATAGTAAATGAGTCAGTAAGATTTGGAAAAAATTAAAAGAGCTATTTTTATGAGATTTCATGCAGTAATCTTAAATTTAGTATTCTCAACAATGGTGGATAATGCCTTAACATGGATTTTAGTGTTTGCAAGATGTGCTAAATTCACAAGAAAATTGTCATTATCTTTCTTTAAAATTTATAATGTTTTATATTCTGCTTTCATAGCCATTTGTCAATCCGCAGTGGTCATTATGGTTCTAAAATCAACTTTTAGACTTCTTATACCTTGTTGGAGATGCAACAAAAGAAACCTTTCCCAACCCCAGCTAACATTAAAATCAAAAATAAGTTTTAAATAAGCTTTGTAATTTCTAAGGCTAAAATCATTAAGGGGCTTCACAGTATTTAGTCCTAATTAAAAACCTTCTCTTCGTTCTATGACTTTATTCATAAATTAAAATTTTTGCAATTGTATAAACTAGTAATTGAATCCCAGTCTGATCTCTAGTGCATTGACATCATGAGCTGATAATTCTTTAAGTGTGGACCTGTAAGGAGATATTATGGTGTGCTGTATTGTGCTTTTAGCCTGTTTTCCACAGTTAATTAGCATTTAACAGTGAGGGTCATTTTGACTCATTTATGTATTAATAGCCTTGTGAATATTGCAGTCCTTTTTAGATTGTATTGGTCTAAATATGCATTCTGCAGTGAACCTGTTAAGCTGTTCACATGTACATACTGTACTTGTACACATCTGACTATTGACATTTTGTACTTTTTCTAAATCCAATATTTCACAATAAAAACTTGTTAAAAAGCATTGTATTCCTTTCCTATTCCTAATGTAACTAATTACCATATATGTAAAATTAATGATTTTTAACAGTTTTTGGAGGCCAGAATTCCAAAATTGGTATCAATAGGCTAAAGTCAGTATGTGGTTGGTTTCTTCTGTAGGTCCTAAGGGAGAAGTCATTACCTTGCCTTTTTCAAATAATTTGAGTTGCGGGCCTTAGATTCTGTGACCTCAGTGATCCATCTTCACATTGCATGCTCTTCCTTTCTTCACCTGGTCTTCTCTGGTCTTACAATCTCCCTGTCTTCCCTCTAAGGGCCTTCAGGCAGCATTGTGTCCCATTTGAAGTGCTTAAAGTAGTCATGTGTACAAAATTCCTGCTGTTCACAGGTTCCAGGAATTTTCAATGTGAATACCTTAGAGAACTACTATTGAGTCTACTGTTAGCCTGAACATTTTCTTCATTTCCCACCATGAAGCCATTCTTTTTCTCACATGTTTTAATAACCAGTGCTATAAGAAAAGGCATAAGGTGGAGAAACATAATGGCTTAGTGACTAATAAGTAGAAGTCATTCTAGGAAGAATTGTGGCATGAACATGGAAGAACTGTTGGAACCCTGTTTTCAGTATTATTTGGGCAGAGGCCCAAAATAAGTTCTGAAAGAAGTAACATGAGACCAGGTAACTAACAAAACAGCATGAAAAGTAAATGCCTTATGGATTGATTTTTATTAATGTTCTGTTTTCCAAAAAACATGTGGTAGCTTAGCTTAGGTATTTTGCATGTAGCAAAATTGCTACACAAGTGATCATCGTTTTAAAGAGGTATGTGTACAATGATCACACCTACCTAAGAATTGATGGATAGAAAAGTGAATTGCCGTTGTCATATTTACAATCACAGAGAAATCTCCATTTTCAACAATGCTACCATTAGTGAAAAAAAATCTCAATTCTCAGTTCTTTGGCAGCTCCTTGGCCAAGGAACTGGTATATAGCTCAGAATGCCCAGTGTTTTTCTCATTTAATGCTGGTATGAGTGCACTTGGTGCTAATAGATGTGGTACTAATGACCACTTCCCAAGAATCCAAGTTTTGCTTGCACATTTTTGATTGGATCTTTTATTTTAGGAGAGTAATTTTATTTATTTATTTATTTATTTTTTTTTAGTTCTTTATATATTCTGGGTGTTGGCCATGCTGTGGGAGAAAAAGGAACCCTTCTACATTGTTGGGAATATAAACTAGTACAGCCACTATGTAAATCAGTATGGAGATTCCTCAAAAAGCTAAAGCTAAATTTCTTTTGACCCAGCTATATCCCTCCTAGTCGTCATTTCAAGAGTCAAAGACATAAGTTACAGTGATACATGCTTACTCATGTTTATAGAGCCAAATCTAGGAAGCAGCCTGTGTGCTCGGCAACAGATAGATAAAATTATTTAAACACAAGGGAATACTGTTTGTCATAAAGATGAGCTGGAATCATTTGTAGGTAATATAAGTGAAATAAGTGAGACGCAAGCTTAAATTTATTGCGTGGTTTCCCTTATACAAGCAACCTGACATAAACATGGAAGAAGCTAAAATATAATAGGAAATAGGGAGATCTTTCTCATGGGAAAGGTAGCATGAGATGGAGAAAAGAGGTGTTTAAAAAAGCAGTAGTTATGTACATGTGCTAACCACAAATACAAACGTATTACAAAGGCACTAGTAACTACCATCTGAGAAATGGGACTAAAAAGATGTTAGTTTCCTTAAAAGGATTGACTCATTTCTAAACTAAAGATCCCTATAGAAAACCAGAGAAGTGTATAGGAAATATGTGAATAATTGGTAACTGAAAATACATGCAACTTCATTTAAAATAAAAAATGGAAGTGGGATGGTGGCCAGCACATACAATCCCTGCACATGGATGCTGGGGCAGGAGGGTTGCTGGGAGTTCAAGGCCAGTCTGTGCAATAGGGAGCTTAAGGCCAGGCTGAACTACATAACAAGACCTTGTCTCATAAAAGCTGGAGTAAAATTATAGGAAATCAGGAAGTGACAGTTACTTCTTTGTTCATACTATTTGCCTACAAAAAGTAGTGAAAAGTAAAAATACTGTACCACAAAAGAAAAGGAAAATTTGTGATTCTTGACAATTATGGCTGAAGTTGTAGGCAAGTGGGTACTGTTGTGTTTTGGGGTTTCTAACAAGGTGAAGAATATAATACAGGCCATTTTATAAGATTTTATAATGAATCACCCCAAAAATGCAGGAAGTCTGCACATACTGAGGACCAGAGGATCTAGCTGAGGGCCTGGATCCTAATGTCCTGCATGAGTCCAGCTGAAGACCTAGCACTCATAACATTGCCCCCTAAGTCCAGCTGGAGGCGGCCCTCCACAATGTCACATGAGGCCTGTTTCAAGGATCTGTGCTGGAAAGGCCCAAAGGTCAGTGGTGTTGGCGAGAAAGTCTGTACCAGTGGGGTGAAGGGTCTGTGCCAGCAGGCTGAGGGATGTGCACTGGAACAAGGAAGCAACACTCAAGGTAAGTACCAGAGCTCGCCCCACAAGTACCACAGCCATCCTCCACAACAGCAAGGCCTTGAGCTCTCCTGAGGAGGCAAGCTACATTTGCGACAAGCTTCTCCAGGAGACTGAGTGGTGCACCATATTCTCTTGAGCCAGGAAGCAATGCTGAAGGTGAGCAGCTCCTCCGAAATGAACCACAGCCATTGTTGGTGACAAAAAGGTCCTGAGCCCCTCCTTAAATGAGACCAGCCACAATTACCAGGAAAGCCAACATGACAAGGTCTCCCAGCAAAATAGCCCAGGAAAATCAGCAGCTTCCAACGGTTTCCCCAACAACCTCTCAGCAGTTTCTCCAGTTCTGCATCTAATACTACTGTCAATCCTCAAGTGGGCCTCCCACACCTAGCACCAGGCTGGTTCAGTTCAGTGGGGTGGATCAAGTTGACCACCAGGTGGCAATCCACCACAGGTACTCTCATGTTGCCAGTGATTAAGGAAAAACAGTTCCTATAAAAGTAGATTTTACTAATAATGTAGAACTACATATATTCATTTGTACTTTGACCCCTCCCAAATGAACACTTGTGAAAATCAAAGGACATGCACAAAGTTATACAGTTAATTTGCAGTAGCAAAAATCAGAAAACCAGAGATTCAGTACTGTGGTAGTCTGCACAGTTGGTAGCATGTGATGGTAAGAATAACTGTTACTATTGGTTGATGCTAATTGTGAAACAAAAGTATTATATGCTGTTACCATTATGAGAAGGTGGGCTGCATACATACTGAATATATACCATATTTTGTTGATTAGACTTCAGGGTCATTTAAATATTTTTACAAAATTAAAAAATAAAAAGATCTCTTAGAAAAGGATATGTAAATGTATACCCACTTGGTGTCACAACCACTCAGGAAAACTTTAAGTGATACAGAATAATTTGTGCCTCCCTGGTAGAATATGCTCTGAGGCTGTGATGGGGAAACCCAAGAGCTTTCAGTGTTAACAGCTTTGTGTGACATGTGGGCCATAGGTTAGCTACCATTGCCCTAACATAGGAAAGATACCTATTGAATGTTACCTTAGACTTGACAGTAAGGATGCTGTTGTGGCAATGTTGGTATTGCTATTACTTGGAATCAAAATTTTGTAATTAAATGAATAATTGTGTGATATTCTAATTGATTACATAGGACCGGAATTCTTTATACAGTAAGTAAAATCTGTAGTTCTATTGATTAATTGGAAATGTTAGTATAAATTCAAGATAATTTACATAAAAATAGGTGTATTCAGGTAATGTATGAGATCGGTCTGTAGCACATTGTCATACCAATAGCAAGAAGCTACCAAGGATTATTTAGTGTGATCTGAAAAGGATAGGTAAGCCAATTTCAATAAAGCACAGTTTAAACACTGGATAGTAACAGCAAGGAATTGCATTATTAAGCTTATGTACATGATTTAAAATGATACTAGTAAGAAACTAGACAAGCCACACAAAAAACAAGGCACTAATTACCATTGGTGAATTCATTTTGAAAGCTGATAAGCACCAAAAAATTCAGTTTTCTGAAGAAACTACTGCTGAGTAGGCAAATAGGTAAGTTTCTCTAAAAAATTCCATTTAATGATAAAGAAAAAATTACAGTCTCATTTTGCATGTTCTAATGGAGATAGGTATTGGTTGCTAACAGTGCTCATAGTACCCAGAAGAGAGATATTCTTAATATAGAGAGCTCATTTATTTATTTAGAGACAGTCTCTGTTGATTTTATTACCATAGCTAAGTTGACACTGTTGCTATTAGTTTGTTTTCTTGAGGGGTCATCATCTCACTTGATTGCCTTGGGATCATTGACAACACTGGCCTAGTCCCAAGAGATTTGTATACTGGGCAAAATATGCTGCAACCACCCATCTAAAGTAAATGGAGGTAATTGGATACTGGGATAGAGACAAAGGCCAGTAGTTATCGTGGACATTAACTACCTAGACAAAATTTTATAATATATGCAACCTTAACATCAAACAAAAATGGAAACATAAGACAATCCACAAGATGCCTCCCAAACTCCCACCTCATGGGGCATTGAAAGGAACCTGAAGGGTACACAGATGTGTTGTTTGAGATGGTAACAAGGAAGCTAAAAGAGTAAAAGGCAATCGGCAAGATCATTGAGGACATAAGTAACAGGCTATTGGGCCAGTTAAAATCAGCACTGTAAAGACACTGAGAAGGAGCTAAAAATGATGCAAAACATTCATGAACAACATACAAGAGAAGAAAGAGTCCATTAAAAGGCTTCAAAAAAGATTCAGATTAAATTTTTTTTATTGAAAGCATGAGTAGCAGAAGTGACTGATGTGACAATAATCTCAGGGTTAGAAGACAGCTGTTGGGGGTGACCAGTTAAGAGATAACCTTAAAAACGAAAACAAAAAATGGATCAGGAGTTCCTATATGACACAGAAAAGA